GGCCTTATCTTACCCCACGAAGCACCAATACTCACACTTCTCGTAGCACTCAATGTTGATCAGACGCTCAAATGGTATATCTTGCACCACGAAACTCTCACCGGACTATATTGTTCTATGGTCCGCGAGACGAGACTGGCAGAGCCTGGATAACCTGGGTAACAGCCCGTCCTCCAAACAAAGACCCAAAAGTGATTCCATCCACCCGCCAACCCCACTGGTGTTTATGAATGAAAACGGTTTACACACGACTCACAACTGATAACGTTCGAACACTTTTGAGACAAGTGCTTCACTGACGAAGTTTGTTCGAACCACAACGCTGTAAATGCACAGCCCGTCCTCCAAACAAAGACCCAAAAGTGATTCCATCCACCCGCCAACCCCACTGGTGTTTATGAATGAAAAGCGGTTTACATACGACTCACAACTGCTGACGTTCGAACATATCCGGAACAAGTAGTTCACTGACGAATTTTGTTCGAACCACAACGCTGTAAATGCTTCACCCACGTACTACAAATACAAATAATCGCCAACAGAACCTAAACACCTAACCTAACCTATGCCTATATATTCACAACATGCTAATATATTATAATATTAATTTATATTTGAAAAAATTTCCGTTTTGAATGAAGAACATGTTAAAATTTATGAATGCGTCTGTGGGGTCGACCGCTGAATGGAATGGACTTCAGTCGAGGATAGGTTGCGGGAATAGTAGACCGGAGGAATGGCCTTGTTACGGCGTCTGCAAAAGCATTTTTGACAATTAATAGCATGATTGTGACGAACATACACTCCATACACCTGTATGGCCGCGTTACGTAACACAGTGTTTGTGATGAGTAACTTGCCCGTTCCGTACTCCTTACTGTATTGTGGTGTTGTATTTTAAGCAACTTTTAGTTGAAGTGTTTTTGTCGACATATTTGTCGAGTTACGTTATTCACGTTGTTTACGTCGGTGGATTTGTTTATAATAATTCAAAACAAGTTTTTTTTTCAAGATTATTTAACAAATGCCTCAATAAGATTGAGATACGAATGTCACTGATACTGGGGGTACGAAACCTAACAGTGGGAACCCCTAGCAGGGAGCCGGTCTGCCGAGCGGACAGCACGCGGGACTTGTGATCCTGTGGTCTTGGGTTCGATCCCAGGCGCCGGCGAGAAACAATGAGTTTCTTTCACCCTATGCCCCTGTTACCTAGCAGTAAAATAGGTACATGGGTGTTAGTCAGCTGTCACGGGCTGCCTCCTGTGGGTGGAGGCCTGGTCGAGGACCGGGCCGCGGGGACACTAAAAGCCCCGAAATCATCTCAAGATAACCTTAAGAGAAAATAGCAAGGTACGAATAACGATAATTTTAATTATATATTATTGTGTTCGTAAGCTGCACATCTCACGAATCCGTCCGTGCCGTGTGGGACAGTGAACGAGACAGTGAACATTTACACATTTACAAACTGAATTTTGAAAATATTTTATACGAATTTACAGGAAATATTTTACACGAATTTACCTGAGGGGCCACTAATATTAGTGGCCCAGATGAGGACAGGAAGCCGGCGGTTTGTGAAAGGTCCCCCTCTCCCCCCCCACGTTTGTTCTGATGATCTTTACCGGCTGTGTTTTAAAACCCAGCAGAGTTTTGGCGTTTACTGCTTCGGCAGGTAGGCGGTTCCTCGGGTTTATAACCTTATGGGTGAAAAAGCCTCTCATGTATGTGTTGTATGTGTGTATACGTATGTATGTGTTTCAGTCTACAATTTAGGCCTGTTGTCTTGTGTATGATCCTGTGACAGTGAATACCAGCAACACCTTCACTGTCCTGTGTGACAGTGAATACCAGCAACACCTCACTGTCCTGTGTGACAGTGAATACGAGCAACACCTCACTGTCCAACACCTTCACTGTCCTGAGTGACAGTAAATACCAGCAACACCTTCACTGTCCTGTGTGACAGTGAATACCAGCAACACCTTCACCACCTTCACTGTCCTGTGTGACAGTGAATACGAGCAACACCTCACTGTCACAAGACCTACTTGAATTACTCAGGTTAGACAAAATTGTATCATTTGTCAATAAAGATGTTAATAATTAGTTGGTACTTACAGCGAGAATGGTACTATTTGTCTCCTTCAAGTACCGTCGGTTCTCGGTACTGGAGAATACATTTATGTCGTCAGCATACAAGGTGTGTATACCCGGGGGAGGGGGGGAGGGGGGGCAGCCCGCTTCTCGGAGGGCATTACACACTGAGAGGTAACTTGAGTTGTGAAGCATTCAGGATAAGGGTATATACTGGCTAGTGGTGGTAAGCTAATGCCACGGCCTTAACCCCCCCCCCTCCCTGGTTGAGATAGGCCTTAACAACCTTCCAGTGGTCTGTAGGCCTTATCCAGAGCAACAATCTAATCTCTGCCTTTAAGTGTAGGTACAGATGTTTATGTTACTTGGAATAAGTGCACGAAAGAATCAATTCAACCAGATCTCATAATAGAACGTCGTATTTTGACGTTGGAGCCAGCCTCCACCACATCACCCCCTAATGCGTTCCATTTGTCAACCACTCTGACACTAAAAAAGTTCTTTCTAATATCTCTATGGCTCATTTGGGCACTCAGTTTAGTGTGTGTGTGTGTGTGTGTGTGTGTGTGTGTGTGTGTGTGTGTGTGTGTGTGTGTGTGTGTGTGTGTGTGTGTGTGTGTGTGCGTGCACGCGCGCGTGCCTAGCAAGAGGCGTGCCCAGTCGCTCAATACTCATTGTCAATATTCATGTGGAGGTTGTTGTATACCCAGACACCGACCCCGCTGGTAGTGTCCACTGGCCGACCTCTCACACACAACCTCCCGATAATCTTATACTTGTTGTGGCTCAATATTAACTGATGGTGAACCCGAACAAGTCTATATCTGGCTCTTGGGGAATATTTCCAGCAATATCCTGAAGTTCAGTGTTCACTGTAGCCGACGTTGAGGAATGAAGACATTTTCATTATAAATACATTTACTACGCGATTCAAGGAATTCTGAATCGTTCTTGTAACCCAAAGATTTGTCAGAATTAATGCTCATTACTTATTTTTGGTAAGAGTAAAAAAAAATATATTAAAACCTGCTAGTAAATGTGTTTTTGTGTTTACTTAATTTGTTGTGGTTGCCAAGCTGTATTGAGGGGTTGAGTGCCAGTTCATGGGCTCCAACTCTGAGGCTCTCAGTTGCGGGTGAAAAGTTTCTAGTCTTTTTGCACTTTAATAAAGTATATTTTTCAAACTCTGAATTAATTACTTTGTTTTATCTCTCTCCCTCTAATGGATATAATTGGTTTACTTGTTATAAACTGCAGGATACTTCTCCCACTCATTTTACTCGTGTGAGCTCCTGCTCCCTTCCCTCCCATGGTAAACATTGTATCAGGGGGTTTACTTCCCTCCCAAGGTAAACATTGTATCAGGGGGTTCCCTTCCCTCCCATGGTAAACATTGTATCAGGGGGTTCCCTTCCCTCCCATGGTAAACATTGTATCAGGGTGTTCCCTTCCCTCCCATGGTAAACATTGTATCAGGGGGTTCACTTCCCTCCCATGGTAAACATTGTATCAGAGGGTTCACTTCCCTCCCATGGTAAACATTGTATCAGGGGGTTCACTTCCCTCCCATGGTAAACATTGTATCAGAGGGTTCACTTCCCTCCCATGGTAAACATTGTATCAGGGGGTTCACTTCCCTCCCATGGTAAACATTGTATCAGAGGGTTCACTTCCCTCCCATGGTAAACATTGTATCAGGGTGTTCCCTTCCCTCCCATGGTAAACATTGTATCAGGGGGTTCCCTTCCCTCCCATGGTAAACATTGTATCAGAGGGTTCACTTCCCTCCCATGGTAAACATTGTATCAGGGGGTTCACTTCCCTCCCATGGTAAACATTGTATCAGAGGGTTCACTTCCCTCCCATGGTAAACATTGTATCAGGGTGTTCCCTTCCCTCCCATGGTAAACATTGTATCAGGGGGTTCCCTTCCCTCCCATGGTAAACATTGTATCCCATCGTCCAACAGACACTCCGCATCTCGTAACATTCACGTCATTCCCCGTCTCCACCATCCCTGCCCACACCCGCCCTGTCCCCCGTCTCCACCGTCCCTGCCCCCACCCGCCCTGTCCCCCGTCTCCACCGTCCCTGCCCACACCCGCCCTGTCCCCCGTCTCCACCATCCCTGCCCACACCCGCCCTGTCCCCCGTCTCCACCGTCCCTGCCCCCACCCGCCCTGTCCCCCGTCTCCACCATCCCTGTCCACACCCGCCCTGTCCCCCGTCTCCACCATCCCTGTCCACACCCGCCCTGTCCCCCGTCCCCACCATTCCTGCCCACACCCGCCCTGTCCCCCGTCCCCACCATTCCTGTCCACACCCGCCCTGTCCCCCGTCCCCACCATTCCTGCCCACACCCGCCCTGTCCCCCGTCCCCACCATTCCTGCCCACACCCGCCCTGTCCTCCGTCTCCACCATCCCTGCCCACACACTCCCTTCCCGTGCCTCTCTATCCCTGCCCACACACTTCCTCCCTATTCATCCTGCCCCACTTCAAAATAACCAAAAGATTGTATGCAAAATGCAAATCTGAACATGTTTACAATATTTATGTCTGCTTACTCTTATTTAAACTAATGCTGAAGTCTATGGACTCGGCGCTGAACATTTCATATTCACAGACTGCGTGAAGGATGGACATTGGATTCATGCACCACATCCTCCATGGGGGCTTCTGGATGACCCTGACCCGCCTCCTTATGACACACCTGATAAATTAGCCACTAACCCTGTAAAGTTTAGTGAGACTAGCCCCAGGCGTCTGGCCTCCATCCTCTCATACATGCATTCTCTTTTATAGATATTGATTGATTACTTTGATTAACCCAGAGTATAAATCACTGACCAGTATGGACATACAGGCCAAGTGTGATGGGAACAAGGATCAAGAACTACA